AAAAGCTAAAGATTAAGAAAATATATTCTTATATAATCTTAGTAAGCTCTAGAAAATTAATAGTTTTATAATATATAATATATCTTATTATTTTAGAATACTAGTTAATAACTATAAGAATTATATTAAAATCGAGACCTTTTACTAGGTTCTTATATAGTAGTAGACCTATAATAAAATCCATAGAGATCTTATTTGAGGGTCTTTTAGGCTATAGTAAACTACTAAGCAAATTATATAATAAATACTTCTTTATCTTAATTCTTTAGTAAATATTATATTCTTAATAATAATTATAAATATTTCCTTTTATATTCTCCTAATACTAAGATCTTCTAAGAAGCTCGAAAGTTTTCTTTATTCTATAATATCTGGTTATTAGGTTATTATAATAAAGCTTTATAACTTCTTAATATAAAGCAGGATTATTAGATATAATAATTCTAGAATAGTATTTAAATAGGCCCGAATTATTTTTCTAGATTTCTTTTTCCTTAGTATCTTTTTTATTAAGCTTCTATTTTATAATATTCTAATATTAAGAATTATTTCTCTAAATTACCTAGATAATATCTAGAAAAAATTTAGATAAAAAAGCTAGTATTATGGCTCTTTTAGTAATTATATATATTTATATATAAGAAATTAGATATTTATAATTATCTAATTTAAAAACTCGAGAGACTAAGAAGTCTTTAGTTCTATTAAATAATATGGTTATAGATACTTCTATTACCTTAGCTATAATAATAAAGCCTTTAAGGCATTTCCCTATATCTTATTTCTTAACTAATTCTATAATTAAAAAATCTATAAAATAATCTATTTACTTATCTTATAGTAAATATTTCTTTTTAGCTATTATAGATATAGTAAGTATTAAATAATACTTATTTCAAAGAAAGAACTCTTTAGATATTTATAAGAACCTCTAAATTATAATTATAAAAGCTTTCTTTAACTTATTCTAAAAAGTTAGAAGCCAAGTTTATTAATAGAATCTTCTTTATAATTAGGTCTTTTACTAGATCTATTTACTAGATTTAAAGCGCCTCTATAATAAATAATATTAAAATTATATATTATAAGATATATTATCTAATATATTTAATAGCTTTCTAGATACTTTATTTCTATAAAGTATTAGAGATTATTATAGTCTATAATAACCTTAATTATAAACCTGAACTTTTTAAAATAATAGTACTAATATTTAAAGGCTTTAATAATTATAAATAGCTCCCTATTATAGATATTATAGTTATATTTGGTTTCGGAAAGTTTCTGGAACTAGAATATTACTAGATACTAGTATTTTTTTAGGCTATTACTAGAATTAACTTATTATAAAATAATACTAGTAATTATAAATTTTAATATATTAGTTTTAATATAAATTTTCTTAGAAAAATTAAAATAGACTAGAATAGATATTATAATAAAAGCTTTTTTTAAAGTTTTAAAGCTTTTAGCTACTTTATTTATTTATATAAAGGAACCGGATTTCCGGCCCTTTTCTATTTCTTTTAAGAAATCTATTAAGCCTATAGTTACCTAAGAGTAATAATAGATAAACTTATAATAGAAATTAGTAAATCCAAGAAATACTTAAATATTATAAAATAATTCTAGTTCTAGCTATTTAATAATACTATAGACCTATTTAGAATTTATATAAATACTTTCTATTCTAATAAAGAAGCCTAAAAATTTGACTTCCTTAATATTAAACTTATATTTATTAAGTTTATAAAACAGATTATTTTTATATAGCCTAGTAAATACCTGGCAAATATAATTATAGTATTTACTTTTATTTCGGGAATAAATAAGAATATTATTTAAATAAATAACTATAAAATAATTCAAGAATCCTATAAATATAGTATTAATATATACTTGAAATATAGCTAGTATATTAGCTAGCCTAAAAGATATTATAAGATATTTAAAATAGCTATAATAGGTCCTAAAAGCCGTTTTCTACTTATATTCTTTATGAATTCTTATTTAATAATATATATTTTTAAGATTTAGCTTTATAAAGATCTTGGCTTCTCGGAGCTAGTTAAGGGTCTTATTAATAAGAGAAAGCAAATGTCAATTCTTAATTATAACTTAATTAAATCTATAATAATTAATATAAAGATATAGCCCTCTATTCTTTTTAGAAATAAAAAGAATAAATACTTTTATTAGGCTTTTATTAGGCCTTATCTAATATTTATAAAGTATATCCTATAAATATAGATATAATACTTCTAATTAGGTCTCTAATAGATTATATAAAGGCTAATATAAGACTATATTATTTATATTAATAGAATATTTAATATTACTAAGATTAGGAAGTTCCGAAACTTTATTAGGGTTAAAAACCTTTAAGAAGTCTTTATATTTATTATTTCGGAAATAGATAGGTATTTCTAAAGCCTCTTTCTAAAAAGTATTAATTTATTATATTAAAAACTCTTATTTAGTATTACTAGAACTATATAATAAAATAGAAGTCTAATAATTATTATAAATATATAAAGCCTATTATCTAGAATAGTTATATTTGCCTTTAGTTAAGAATAAGACTTGAAATACTAGCTCAGGATACTAGTTAAGCTCCTTATTAAATTCTTTTAATATTAAGATTTTAATATTATTAGGCTATATAGGTATATATATCTATTATTTCTTAATATAGTCTATATATTATATAAGAATTACTTTATAAAATTCTATACTAAAAATAAGGCTATAAGAGCTAATATTCTTATATTTATAGAACTAGAGCTTAAAAGAATATATTTTACTATAATTATTTATAATAAATATCTTAAGATTATAGGTTTAATAGACCTTAAACCTATTTCTATAAAAGATTATAAATTCTTAGTTATATTTAGCTAAGATAGTAAAGCCCTGGCTTTAAGCCTAATTATTATTAAAGAAGTTATAGTCTGACCTAGTATTATTAAGTCTGCTATATATTTCTAAGGCACTTATTTCTGGCTATATTAATCTTACTTAAATAGTTATATAAAGTAATATACCTTTTTTATTATAACCAAAATTATTAATATTTAAGATTTAGCCTTTTCTTTTCCCTATTTCTTAAGAGAGTTTTCTTTAGAGTATTTCTCTATAGTAATAGTATTAACCTGCTTTTATAAATACCTTAACTCTTCTATAGTTTTGGCCTTATTAGAGTTCTATCGAGCCTATTTAGTATATTTGAAATATTTTATATTTTCTAAAAAGTATTCTTTTTATTTATAAGTTTAATAAATTATACCTGAAATAGAACTAGTATTTTATTAAGGCCTTAAAAGAACTAAAGCATTACCTAAGGGTTTCTTATATAATTTTCAGAACTTATTCTTTTTTTTTAATAGCCTTATAAATTAGAATTTACTAAGTCAGAGTTCTTAAAAATAGAATTACTTTTACTAGACTTTCCTGCTTTTATTTTTCTTAATTTAGGATAAGTAGTATATTCTGTTTTCTGAGCTTTCTTAAGTTATTCGGAAATAAATATTGCCTTATTTCTTAAGAAAATAGATATAAGTATCTAATAAGTCTTATAGTTAGATAAAGTAGTATTAAAAGTCCAGATCTGGTTTCTTTTAGGATATAGGTTCTAGTTAACTTTAAAACTAATTATTTAAGTATATAACTTAGTAACTATTTTATTATCTTTCTAATAAAGATCTTAGAACTTTTTAAAAATATCTTATTAACGGATTTAAGGTATTTAGAGTATATTAGTTAAATAGGCCTTAAATTACTTCTAATAAACTTTATATAATAGTAGGCTTTACTTTATTATAGCCTCCCAAATATTATAAGATTTATTCCTAAGGGCATTTATAATAGAATTAACTCTAGAAAAGTATCTATTATAAGTTTAAGGTTAGGTCCTAAAGATTATTTTCTAGGAAAATATAAATATTCTCTATTTCTTAAAAGACTTTCTATAATATAAGTCAGGTATCCGGACCTTAAAAAGCTTTTCTTAGTTTAAATATATTTTTAGGATATTATATAATAGCTTCTAATAAATAGTATTAAGATTACTTTTAAAGCTTATTATATTAGGAAAAAAAGTGGATTCTAATTCTATTTTAGGAAGTTCCCTAGTAGGAATTACTAAAAAAGATAAAATAGACTTATAAATAGAGTTTCTATAAGATATAATAAATTATAAGATATTCCTAAAGGCACTCTTATATTACTCTAACTATAGGATATATTAGTTAATTACATTTACTAATTCTTGCTTTTATTAAAGTGCTTTAATATTAGTATATAATTTCTATTTTATAGCTTGGGTAATAGTAACTTGGGTATTAATCTCGGTATTTTAATTATTACCGGAATTATTTCTGTTATTATTACTGGCTCTTAGAGGCTCCTAAAGAGCCCTATTAAAAGTATTAGATAAGCCTTTACTATTACCCGTATCGGGATTAATCTAGTTAACTTCCTCTATCCGTTCCGCTGCCGCCAGGGACGAATTGGTCCGTACACACTGGTTTTCGCTTAATTCTGGCCAATTAGAGGGCTGGATTTCCCCCTCAATCGCTTCAATTCTACCTCTCTCTATGAAATATATCAAAATACCTACGATTTTTACATAAGTGAATATTATACTGTTTATATCTATAGAAGCTATCTCTCCTATAGCTCTCTCGCCCCTGATTAGCTGCAATTTGAGCTAGTACAACTCGTTTTTATAACCAATCCCTATATCTCAGTCCCTTATAACATATATACTTCCCAATTTTACTAAGCTTTATTTGCTTGTACTTTCTTACAGGCACCTTACTAGCTTCCTGGCTAATCTGTAATATTCTTCTCTTTGGGCAGATCTCACTGTCCTGGGCTTTAGCTAGTAAAGTACTAACTAGCTGTATTCTGAAGTCCTATTGACTTCTAAAGCTTACTTGCCGAGGCTCTGGAATATTACTATATAAAGCAAGTAAATAGCAGTTAATTAGAACCGTACGAAGTAGCCAGTACTCAAGTACTTGGTACCCTCTACGTTCTACGTACCATAAACCAGAATTCTGAGCAGTCAAGTAATCAAACTCGTTAACTACTCCTATATAATAATTATATCCGTCCGTAATTATAGGAATCGAGAGTACTTTGACAGGCTCTTTACTAAAGGGCTTTCGTATAGTCTTTGCTTTAGAAGAAGTCTCCTTAGGCCTTTTCCTTAGCCTCTTAACTCGCTTATCACCTAATATAAAGGAAGACATTATTAAAACAAAGGCTTGATCTTTCCACCCAATATAATACACCTCTCTATTAGGCGTATATATAGAATAGGTCTTTCCCTAAGGAATTATATCCTTTTTGTCTGATTTCTAAAGGTCAAGAAGCTTCTTAATAACCCTACTAGTAGTCCTGTAAGTCCTAGTAATTGCAACTCCCTGGAAACGAGTATATTAGATAAAGCGAGTAGAAATAAAGAGATTATTAAGGTAAACGTAGTAGCCAGACCCCTTAGGAGGCTTGGGCAATCTTTGAATCAGGTATAGAACTACTGCTTATATCTTATTTCCCCTATTTCTAGCCTTAATCGTCCTACCAAGCTCCCTTGGAGTATATACTCCTAAAGGTCTATTTTTTTATCCAGGAATATGCCAGTTCTATACGAGTAAGAACCCCCTCTGGGCTGCCCCCCAAACCTTATATCCAGTAGGTATAGGCTTATTTGGAACAGTAGTCGTTTCCTTTAATCGACCTTCAAATCGTACGATTATCTCGTCTACTGCCAAGTCCCGTCCAGGCTTCCAAACGCTCAAATTAATTGCTTGAATATATATACTTAAGGCTTTAACCTGCTCGGTAATTTATTAGCTAGTTTCAGGTAAAATAGACAGGAAAATAAAGGTTACCTTCTCGTACGGGCCTTGTTCTTGATTTCTATGGAATTGCATACGTATATAGAGCTCCTGAAACCGATTCCTACTTAAATACTTCGTAATTGGATACTCAGGCATTATATCCTTTATATTCCAATAGTCTATAATCTCATTATCTATATATAAGCTTATATATATCCGAATCGCAAGGTAGATATAAATCTCTCTATAATATATTAGATACTATTCGTTTGCTCGTATATAAGGGCAGGATTCGTCTTGAGGTTTTTGTATATAATCGTTTGTCTTCTTGATTATTAAATTAATGATTTCAGGGGTATAATACATAGTAAATAAAGTAATAGGATCACCTGGAGAGATATCTTCAGGTAAGGTAATTTCCCAGCCGAATTAGGGTAATTGTATAGGCTTAAAAGCACTCCCCTGCTTTTGCAGTGGATCCTCATTAGGCCGAAGGGTCCCTTTATTAGTGGAATCGAATACAGTAGTATCCGGTATCGTAGTTGTAGTATAATTAATCAATTTGGTGGTTTATTTATATGTAAATATCAAAGCGTAGTTTTGGTATTCCTCCGGAATAATAGTTATTCCGGCCCCGGAAATTCGTCCCTGGCGGTAGCGGAACGGATAGGAATAGCTCCGGCGAGAAATTATATATTTCGCAGATTTCGAGATATAATTACTTATTAAACTATCTTTTTTAAGAATAGAGAGATTAGCTTATAAGGTATTTATTAATAGGTAATAAGATAATAGAATGAATTAGTAAGTTATAAAACTATAGTATTAAATTTAATATAGAATTAATCTCTATTTCTCCTATAAGGTTCAGGGAAGCTCTCCCTAAATAAGAGGCCCTAATAATATATATATAATTAGTAATTTATAAGCCTAATATTTATAATATAAATAGTAGTTAGTTATAATATTAAAGGGCCTTTAATTTCCCTAATTAATACCTATAATATCCGAGGTTCGTTATATGCCCTTAAGTTATATATAACTCTATATATATTATATTTAATAAGTTTATAAAATAAGTTAATATAAAAATTATAATTAAATAAAATTATTAATTAGATATAAGCTTTTAAAATATTATATAAATATAATTACATAATATTTATTATTATAGTTATAATATTAATAATAATTCTTTAGCTAATATATTAAATAATAAATAATTATATTAATATTATATATTTATTATTATTTTTATAAGCTTAAATAACTAGTCTCGATTTCTTAAGTTCTCTTTCCATATTCTTATTCTTAATCTTATTAATAAACCGGGAATTAAAGATATATATTTCCTTTAATATCTAAGATTTAGAAATAACTTTAAATATATTCTTTTTTAAAAAACTAGTAAATTTAACTTAATAGAAATCCTTATATAAATTATTATCTTATAAGAATATTATAATATTCGGGTTTTTATAAGGATATTCTTTATTATACTTTAATAAAATAGCGGGAATAATAGAAGAAATTATACTTATATTACTTTTAATTTTATTATAAAATTCGGAATTATATTTAGATTTAGATATATTAACTTTAATATTCCCTATATAAAAGAGCTTTATAAAGATTAAATAAAAGATAATATTATTATATAATAGAGCTAGTATATAGTTCTTTTTATTAATAGCTACTAGCTTATATAGCTTATTATAATTACTAAATTAGCTCATATTTCCTTTATATTATATAAGAATATTTGAATTCAGGAGAAATTTATAAATATTAGTAATATTAGAATTATTTAGAGTATTTAAAGTATTTGCGATTTAATATTTAGTTTAAAGCTTTTGAATTTCTATTATTACTTTTTTAAATATTACTAATTACTATAATATAATTAATAATAAAGTATTATATTTAGTTATTTAAAATAATACTATTAGATTCTATAAAGTTATTAATAGCCTTAAAAGCTATTTAAAATACGGTATTCTTATTAATTCTATTAATTTTGGCTATAATAATAAAATAAATATATTAAATCGGGCTATAATAGTATTTTATAATTCTAATAAAATTATAAGCTTTTATAGAAATAATTTTAATCTTAGTTCTTATAGTATTTATAAACTAAATAAACTTTTTATTAGTAAACTACTTTCTAATATCTACTATAATCTAATTCAAAGAACCTAAATAAGTATTAATTTAATATTATTTTAGAATATCTCAAGTATATAATATACTAATATTTTAAAGTTATTAGCTGGCTTAATATTAAGTGCCTTTATTAATAATATAAAATATAAACTTATTAGAAATATAGAAAATATTAATAATAATAAAATAATTAAAACTAATATTATTTCTTAAATTAAACTTGAATTATTTAAATAATTAGCTATATTTCTAGTATTACTTATAATATTTTATAAGGTATTTAAAGGCTTTTATATTAATATTATAGCTTATTTATTCTAATATATTTGGGAGCTTACTAATAAATAAATAATTAAAATAGTAATATAAATATTATAATTTAATCTCTATAAAAAAGCAAGGATTATAAATAAAGAATTCGGAAATAAAGCTTTATAATATAATATTCTAAAATAATAAAAAGTATTTAAAATATTATATTTAATAAAAATAATAAGATAATTAATAAAATTATTAAAATAAACTTCTAGCTTATTTATATTAGCTAAACTAAATAAAAATAAAGTTTTTATAGATATAATATAGAATTATACTTGTTTAATTAATATTCTTATTATTATAGATCTAATAAAGAATATAAATCTAATACTAAACTAAATATTAACTTATTTTTTAATAGTTTTATTAAGTTTAATACTATTATTAGTCTGCTATAAAGCTTGGAATTAGTTAGAACTAGTAATTAAAAATCTAAAGGCTCTAATATTAATTATAATTTCGTAAAAGTAATAAGTATTATATTTTAATATATTATTAATTATAAATATTTAAGTATTTTTTATTTATTTAATAAATTCTAAAGCGTGGTTTTCAATTATTATTTAATATATAAAAGAAAGAAAAATAAGATTATTTATAAAAGTATTAGTTATAGAAATAATAAAAATAAAAGTAATAATAGTAATTAAAAAGCTTTTAATTAAAATAAAATAGAAATTTAAATAATATTTCTTTTCTTTATTTATTTCTATTAATAAAGCTTTAAAAGTATTATTTTCTAATTTATTCTTACTACTTTTATTATTCTTTTCTCTTTTAATTCCGGTAATATACTATATATAAATATTATTAAAATATTTATTAAAATTATAGGAATTTCGAAATCTAAATTAATAAATATTTTTATTCTTAAATTAAGCCTTTTTAGTCTCTTATTTCTATAAATAGTATTCGGGTCTCCTATATATAAAATATAACTTTAGAATATAACTATTATAATTATAGAACTTGAAATAATTATTACAAGTTCCAAAATTATAACTAGATCTATATTAATAATTTCCGGATAAATAATAACTTAAAGAATTTTAAAAATAATATTATTAATTAATAAAAAAAGTTTTAGTATTAATTTTTTACTTTTTCTTATAAATAGTAATAAATAATTAAAGTTTATTAATAAACTAGCTGAGTTTATTAAAAGAGTTCGAAATTATATATTAATATATTAATAAGCTTTAATAAGAAATAATAATTTTATTATAAAGGAATTCGGTATTTTATAAAATAAAAGCAAGGCTATATTATAATTAATATAAGTTATTAATTAATATTTAGACAAGCTCGAATATTGTTTTTTTAGAATATTTAATTATTATAATAACTAAAATAATAGTATTTATTTATCTAAATTTTAATTATATAAATTAGAGGCTTTAAAAAAGCTATAAATATTTATATAGGCCTCTTTATATATATATTAAGAGAACTAGTTATTATAAAAGTAGTTTTATATTAGTTTCTTTAATATAATAAAAAAGCCTTTATTAGTATCTTTTCTAAAAGCTTTATATATTAGTAAATATTAAGAAAAATAATAATTTTATAATTAAAACTATTATTAGATTTATTGTATTTTTATATCTCGAAATATATTTTTACTATTTTTCTAATAAGCTTTTAGTAATAATAATAGATATTAACTAATAGATTTTCGGGCTCGGTAATAATAATAGTAATTATATAAGTAAAAATAATAAATAGCTTGATTTCTTAATTAAAAATATCTAATTTCCTTATATATAGCTCTATTTAAAGTAAAATAAACTAATATAATAGGTCTCTAAAAAAGATCTAATCTAATTAGACTACTTTTAATAATATTAGTTTTATTTTATATATATTTTATTTTCTTTTAAATAAGATTAATAAGGAATTATATAATAATAAGGCTCTTATAACTTTATTTAATATAAATACTATTATATTAAAATTAGGCTTAAAGACTTTATAATAATATATAAGTAATTTAACTAAATACTATAGTATTAAAGTTTTTAAAGTTATTCTAAAACAAATTCTATAAATTATTATTATTCTTTCTATATAAGATATATTAATATATTTTAGTAATTAGATATTTCTAAAAATTATTTTTTATTATAATTATTGAATTAATATCGTTCTCTTATTTCTTAATTAGCTTTTTTCCTTTATTAATATTTATATTAAACCGAGTTTAGCTTTTTCCTAATATATATATATATATAATTCATAATAAAAGAGGTTTAAAAGTAAAATAGTTTATAATAGATTTGTAAAAATAATTTAATAATAAAGATATTAAAATAAATATTTCGCTTCTAAAAATTTCGGTTATAATAAGAAATTTAGGAAATAAAATATTATAATTCCAAGAAAGTCTAAAGCTTGAAAGGCTCGATTTAATAATAAAATCGAAATTATAATTAAAGAGCTTTAAGGATATTATAGGATATATATTCCGGAAAAAGGGTTCTATAAATTCGAGTATTATATAAATAGAAAAGATAATTTCCAAGAAAGTAATTTTGGGGTTAAAAGAAATTAGTTTTAAATAATAATAGAAGTTAAATAAACAGATAGTCAAATAACTAATCTCTTATTAATTAGTAACAGCTAGATATATTTTTTATAAGCTATTAAATACTTTTATAAAATTAATAAATAGTTTTCTCCTTTAATATAAAATAGACTAGCTTTATTTTAGGCTATTAAATGCTTTTAGAACTAATCTAAAATCTTTTTTAATCTATATATATAAACTAATTAGTATTAGTTTACTAGTAATATATAATATTATTATATAATATATATAAAATAAAAGTATATTAAATTAATAAAGTAATTAATATTTAAAAGTAAGAATTACAAATTATAGTATTAATATATAATTCCCAAATTTATTAAGCCTAATAAAAACTAATTATTAGTTAAATTACTTATAAAACGCGAGGTTATATAATTATATCTCATATTCCATATTTTATTACTTATATTTTATTACTTATATTTCATATCCCGAAATCCGTAACTATATATATAATTCCTAAAGAAATAGCTATACTAATAATTAGTAAATAAAATATATTTAAAATCATTAATTTAAGTTCTTTAAAACCCGAGGTTTTCTTAAAATATATTAATAATATTAGTAAAAAATCATTTTATTATATATATATTTTATTAAAATATAACTAATATTTAATTATTATATTATAATAAAGTAATAGAAATTAATTACTAAATAATATAAATAATCTTTCTTTTATTTAAAGCTCAAGAATTATTTTTATTATATATTTAATTAAAACTTCAATTATTATTATAAATTTATAAGTAAATTAAGTTATTTAAATAAGACTAATTATTAATAATTCTTTTTAAAAGAAACTAGTTATTTAAATAAAATTAGTTATTTAAATAAAACTAGTTATTTAAATAAAACTAGTTATTTAAATTAAACTAGTTAAATCTAATACTTTGTTTTATATAAAAACTAATTATATATTAAGCAAATATTTTTTATTATATAATAATATACCGGGAAACTAATTACTAAAATAAAAACTAATTCTATAAAGAAACTAATTATTTAAATAAATATATAAAAACTATTAAATAAAATCAAGTAAATAAAACCTCAAGTAATAATATTTAATAAGCTTATTAAATAAAGATTAAAGGAATTATTTATAAAAAATATTTGAAAAATAGAGTAATTTATATAATATTTATATATTATTTGGTTTTTCTATATTACTTAATTTTTATATAATATTTGATTTATATATTTTATTTATATTTATAATTTTAGCTAGTTTTATTTCAGATATTTTTATTCTTAATATTTTTATTTTTAATTAAGTAAATTAATATTATTTTATTAAAATTATAATATATAATAAAATAAAAAATAAGTTATTATAAATTATTATATAATAATTTATAATATAATATATTATTAATAAGGTAATATAATAAAAATTAATAATTAAGTATTACTTTTTTTTAAAAAAAAAAGCCTAATCTTAAGCCTATAATAATTTATAAGCTAAAAGTATTATTTTAATATAAGAAATACTAGAAAAATTAAAAAATTAAAAAATATCTTTTGAAAAAGTATTATATTTAGAAAGTTTAAAGTACTAAAAGAAAATTTTAAAGAAAGAAAAAAGTATAAAAGAATTCTTTAAAAAAATAAATATATTTAAAAGTAATATTCGAGAAATATCTATTATATAAAAGAATTTTCGAGAATAGCTAGTTCTTAGAAAATTTCTTTTAAAAGCTATAGTTTTCTTAAAAGTAAATTATAAGAAATTATAATATTTTAAAGAAGTTTTTTAGTAATATATATCTTTTAAAAAAGTATTATTTCTCGAAGCTAAAATTCCAGATTTCTAGAAATACTTAATAATTTACTTTAAATATAAATTAGTTCTTATTAAGAGCTTCTAGCTTTAATTATTATTTAGAACTTTTTATTTAGCTTTTAGACTATTTTAGGCTTTTCTTAATTATAAGAAAGAATTTATTATAAAATACAAGTTATAAAATATGTCTTTTATAATAAAAGCTGCTTTAAATAATTATTTAATCTAAATAATCTATTCTAAAATAAATAGCCCAAAATAAATTCTCGGTTAAAATTACTTATTTAATATATTTAATATACTAGAACTTTCCTAGTTATAGAAATAATATTTTACTTAATTACTTATAATAGAATAATTGTTTTAGGTTTTGTATTATATAAAGTCGAGGCAAATGCAACTTATTATTACGGGATTATATATTTTAATATTATATAATCTCGGGTAAATTCTATAAAACGCGAGAAATTATTCTTTTTTTTAATCTCTTATACTATGTCTTATATCTAAAATTAATATATATCTGAATTCAAACCCTTATACTTATGGTATCTGGTATATAATAAAGTAACTAGTCTTATACATTATTTATTTATTTAATATCTGGTCTTTATTACTTTATTATAATATAATTTCCAAGCTATATTAATATTCAAATTACTCTCTCTTGGATTCACTTTTTACAAGAATTTATACTAACCAAAACATTGGCTGCATTTTAGTAAAAACTAAGAATATATATGTAATAGCAAGATCCTCTGCTAATATTATTAAAATATTATATTAAATTTAGTTTTTTTTAAAAGTTTTATATATACTTTTCTTTTTTATATTATTTTTTATACTAAAAACAACTTTTAATATAATTATTTTAATTACTTTATTAATAAACCTCTTCTAGACTCATTAAACCCTTTGTCTGTTAACAGACCAGTTCTGGCATGAACATGGCCTACAAGGCATTAGATGTGCGTCCGAATCAACCTCAAGTCACCATGACGCGCCCACATGATACCAACATAATATGCTGTATACGGTAACGCAATGGACATTACCCAACCAGGACATTCCCATCTCCTCCACGGAGAATAACGAGCCATTCCTCTGGTACGCCCACAGAACGATGAAGAATAATTTGCCCACAGGCCTTGAGCTTCAAAGACAACCCACATTGGCCAAAAACAAGAGCTGGTGCATCCTTCACAACCTCTATCAAACGATTTTGAAGACTAAGGATGGATGGTGTTGCCTCGTAGACGCTGAAAAGATCCTGACGGAGGCTGAGACACTGCGTCATGAAATCCGTCTTGTCCCTGTCTAGCTTGTCCTGGGATGGGCTCTGACTTTGCGATAGTTGATCAGCTCTTTGACGGTAGATCAAGTGGAATGCATCATTCAATATTAGAGAGAATCCTGCTGTAATAACGCCAAGGCCTTCGGGATTACTGTAGGACCTCTGGCAGGTCGTGGTGAACATATCAAAGGATAATTCCAATTCTGGAGTTGCAAATGTGTCCCGAATCCGTGCACATACTTTCTGCAGTGCCTCGCCAAGATCCCTTGCAAACCGTACACGTAGCTCGATGTCTTGGTATGTCCTCTGGCTCAGAAAGTATATGGAGTTCTTGTGCTCGATGCGGAGAGACAGAAGCAAGTCGTCCACATCGTCGAGGCGTTGCCAATGCTGTGTTTTTCCAGGACGGACAATGTCGTCGTCGTCCCGGATGCACCACAACCCTGAAGCACATTTCCTTAGAGAATCGTAGTCCTGACTCGCAGGTGCGATGGCTTCGGGGGCCTTCTCGTTTCCATTGAACCTGACAATCAGGTGTCTGTCTGTGTGGATGAAAGTGAAAAGGCCGACATCCGTTTCGACAATGACTCTCCCAGAAGTTTCACGAACGCGGGAGAAATGCTGATTGACAAAACGCAGAAGGTCTGTCCGGGAGCACGTGCAGTAGTAGGTGTGGTCATCGTATACTAAGTCCTGCAAGTTCTTGGTTTCCATCTCGAGTACACTAGAGCGAGTTTGATCAGGCAGTAGTTGGAGCATATCTGCTAGCTCAAAGGCAGAGCTGCCAAATGTCCTCTGGGAATGCTGAAGCAGCTGTTCCGGACTGGCTTCAAAAGCAGATGCCCGAAAAACTGGTAACTCTACCGTAAGCCGCGGTGGTTGTCCAGAGATTTGGAGCTTGTTGAAATCCATATCCATTCGTAATTTATGGCTTACTGACCGTTCGAGTTTCCGCAGCTCTATCTCCGTTGAAAAAAGTCAGCAGAGAACTTACGGACCAATAGATAGCAGTAGAATGCTGAGTTTTCGATTAACCTGATTCTAATTGGTCGTTAACACTTCCTTGACTCTGGCCGTCTTTCTTCTGGGAATCCTTAGCATAGAAAACGATGATCCTGCGAACTTTCTTATAGCCCGGGTCGTCTGCTGAAGTGAACCTGCACATCTGGAGATGATTGGCGTCGATTCCCTCCTGTCCCTCAGCAGCATCTCCGACTATGGAAGAGAAATCGTCCACGACCTATTCTCAACAGTCAGCAAATCATAGGGTAGAATGAAACTTACTACGCTACCTTAGCATCGAAGCCGTATAGACCACTCATGCCCCGCTCTTCTCGAAATGAGTGGATCTTGATGTCGTCTCTGATCATGTTGCTAAAGTTGTGGGCGATAATCTGTAGAACAGCGCTGTCGACCTGGATCTGTTGTAATAGCGTCGACGTTGTTGACTGGAGAGCTAGTTTCGCAAGGTTGCTGCAGAGACTACCCCATGAAGCCCACGAGGAACCACGGTGTGGAGTGCCAAGAAAGACTATTCCGAAGGTATCCTGATATAATCTCTGCTCTCTGGGCCGGAACTGCGCCACTGACGAGAGTCTCAATGCCTGGTCCGTATTAAGGCTGGGAAGTGGATGAGATTGACGATAAGGATAATATACCTCTTTAACTATTATTCCTCCTAGACTATGGCATACGAAGATGATTGGCCGTGCGGTTCCCTATGAATCTGTGCATTAGCATGGCTATTGTCAAGAGGGATTCGTTAATCGGTTTCCTACCTCCCTCTCTCCGAGTAGGTCTCCCACTAAGTTCTTAGCATGCTGTGAGATGTTGTTCCTCCCGGTGGCACCGAATATGCGCAAAACGTCTGAATTGTACCCAAAAGTGAGCAGTCGAACGTTGCTCAGGTCCTTATCAACCGCCAGTAGATCCCCTGGCCAGAAGACCGGTGCGTGCTCGGGTTTTGCTGGTGGTACTTCGCTGGGCTGGCGCTTAGGAAACAGACTCAATTTTTGGAGGCGAGATCGGATAGTACAAGCTTGGGACTGTATCGCAGGAGGTGTATAGGTCCATGAGTTTACTGGATCGCCTTGCAGCCCATGAACGAACACAACACTGATTGGAGACTTCAGTCAGCTAGGTTAATTATTGCTCAGTAGAGATCCTCACTCTGCTGTGACAGGTTCCGAGCCAGGCGTGATGGTTTGTATCCCAGTTCGACCTGGCTCGATGGCAGGGTGTTGATTCCTTGACTCGACCCTACATCTTGGTTATTTGGCTGAGCCATGATTCTTCCGGCGAATTTGTGGGAATACTGGATGTAGGAATGGTCGCGGCTGCAATCGAAAATCCGAGCGAGGAAGCAATTTAAATCCCTCAGGTCACTGATGACGTGGCTGGAACAGGCGGCTCCTGCGGCCGTGGAGACGAGACTGGCTTCGAGTCTTGATTAGCTTGCTAGCAATGACTAATAGTCTGCTACACAGTAGCGGCTAAAACCATCAATGCCCGATTTTGGCATGTTCTGCCTTACGAACCTGCTGACAAAAGTCCGTGTTTTTAGCGAGGTTTTCAGGCGTCACAAAACCAAAGTCGCCCACTTCACTTCGCAGTTTCTTCACAACTACAGATTAAAACCTCGTATATTTTAAGCGCACACAATAAAAAAGGATAGATTGAGTTTAGAAGGCCTTTAAACCTAATTCTGAATATAAAATGAAAGGGTCCAAAATAGTTATGGGACTCGTTTCTTAGCGAAATGCCCTAAAAATACGGACTTTTGTCTGCAGGCTCGTTAGGCTCGTTAAGCGTAAACCTTAATTCCACGGCACTCTTATATCTCGTAATCCTTTAACCAATTATATACTATTGTAATAGGGTTCAAGCAGGTTACATGCTGTGCACTTATTTTACTTAGTTTTCTTTATACCTTTTTTATTCTTAATTATTATATATATTATTATATATATCTTTTATTTAATAAATTTTTTTATAATAATAATATAATAAATATATTATATTTTTTAATTAGTAGTACTATTAAATTATTAGTATAAACAATTTATTAGTACTGTAATCCCAGTAGTACCAGGAAGTAATTAGTACAAACAGATAATTAGTATAAGAAATATAGACCATGATTTTGCTTGTATTATATCCCTTATTTAATATAGATACTAGGAAAGTAGTTATAGCTATTAGAATAATACTCCCTGAATTACCTAGATAATTATATACTGCTTATAATTCCTTATTACTGGGTGGATCTAGTATATTAAAAAAATAATTAAAGTAATTAATTATATTTAATTAAATTAAATAATTAATTAATTATAATTTAATTATTGACTTTCAAAAAAAAATTAATTATTAGAAAAATTATAATTAATTATTTCTAATTATTATATGAAACTTATATAAAAGTTATATAAGTAATAAATTCTCTTTTTTTTCTTTAAATAATATATAACTAAAGTATAAAGAAAATAAATATTAATTAATTTCCAAAAAAGAGAGAAAGAGAGCAAGGTAATATATATGTGAATTATTTGCTCTGGATATTACATAACAGCACCCACGTGACTAGAGAAGTCAAAACCCCTACTATAGTACTTATTTATAAAGATAAATAAAGCGAGTAAAGGCGGGACACTAGCTATTAAGCCTATAATAGTAAGGCGATATCTAAATTATAGCAAAATACGCTTTACTTTTGCGCTATAAAGCTTATATTATCTTTATAGTCACGTGTAGTAACACGTGACCCAGTAATTAATTATAATTTGATTACTACGATTCTGACTTAATTTAATTTGATTACCGGCCAATAATTATAATTAATTAAATTATTTGACATACTGGGTGGATCTTGTAACTGGGCCATATATAGGGAAGGTGGCCTTGGATACTTGGGAAAACACAGCGGCAATTCAAACCCGAAAGTATATCTCTTTTACTCTGGGAGGAACATTCCGCCAATGCGGGTTGCACTGTAAACAGACTGTAATGGCGCTTACACGAATACTTTTTCTTGTCCCAGGCTTCGGGAAACAAGGCGTCAGGGTTAAGTAATTATTGTCTTTTGTCATGTGAATTACTGTAACATTCTGCTATACCGGCCTTTATTTGAGCCACTGTAATGGAATATTCTAGAGTGTGTTTTGTAACGCATAATTGCTTCGATAAAATGGGGCCCTTTAATGTTCTACTCTTGAGCTTTGCCAAGAGTGCTTTCCATGCTAGCGTGCCTTACCCTCAATATACTTACTTTGCAGCTGCCTTGTGAGAGGCAGTTGTTTTAGACAAGTAAGGCTGAGTTTCGCTAGTTCGTGCAACCACGAATCCCTGTTATCTGATATTATTGATTTGTTTATCTAGGCAATTATCTAGTCTGGGCAAGGTTTTTATTTGGATTTACTAAATCCGGTATTAGTATCTCTTGTATCCTTTTTAGGAAAACAAGTATGAGTTACTATCTTACCCTTCTTCTATTGCCTTTTATAATCTTCTAAGGCCACATTATTATTTTTCTCTAGAATTATATTCTTGACTTGAATAAGGAAGTTTTCTAAAAGAGATCAATAATATTACCCGAGGTATTCTTGGTATATAGAAAGAGAGCTCGTGAAAAGTATATCGGGAAGTTGGCTAAGCAAATTAGGAAAGAGAATTAAGAGATTAGAATAGGAGAAGAGAAAGAGAAAGAAAGAAAGAAAGGTATTTAGAGATATATATCTTAATATTGAGTTCAGGAAAATAATATATTATATTAGTCGAAAATTATATAGAATTATATATAGTAATATAGTAATAATTAAAAAGAATTTCATAAGTAAAATATATTATATTATTATTATTACTAGAATATAAATAAAATATAATATATATTTTATTTTCTAGTCTTATTTATTTTTCTCTAATAATATATAATATAAATAATACTAAAATATATTAGTCTTTATAATACTAGATTAAATAAAACTAATTTATAACTTTTTTATAATTTTTTTATTTCTTTTTATATTTATTTTATTAATTAATTAAAGAAAGCAAATAAAATTATAGCTTAATATATATATATATAATAAATTATAAAAAATAATAAAAGCAAATAAGAATTTTTATATATATAGTATTACTTTTTAATATTAGCTATATAAGATTAATCTAGAATTCCGGATTACTTTATTTACTTATATATAATAAGGAAAATAATAATATAATATATAAAAAAATAAAAAATAAAAAATTAGAGACTTTTAATTCCGGATATTTTTTATTATAGTATAAATTACTAATTTGGGGCTAGTATAATCGCTTTACTTAGTCAGGATCTATATATTTATTTCCTAAAGCTTTATACTTTATTTAAGCTCTTTTTTAGCTAGTTTAATTAATTCTTTTATTATTTTAATATAACTTTCTATTTTATAATCTTTATATATATTAGTTATAAGCCCGGCCTTATACTAATAAGCTTTCTAATTAGTATACTATAAAGAGTATTTAAAGCTTATTTAATTATTTCTTCAAAAATTATACTTTAGTTTATATTTCTATTATTAACTAACTAATAGGAATTATTTCTATAGCTTTTATAATTTCTATAAGCTTAATTGCAATTATATTAGAAGCTATAGTTAAGATTATTATTCTAAAGAACTATAGTTTCTAGGCAAACTAGTTTAATACTTTCTATAAAGCAGTTAGTAATAAAGATATCTGAAATAAAATTAATTTATTTAATAATAAAGTAACTAAAACAAATATAATAGCTTCTTCTAGGCCTTCTCCTATAATTAATAAGCTTATACTAAAGAAAACAGAAGATTACTATATTAGATACCAAGCTAAAATAAAGAATTAAAATAAGAATATTTGATTTATAATTAAGAAAAAATTAAAACTAGTATTTCTATAGCCTATAATATTCGGAGATATTAGAAGTTACTATTTAGTATTTTTATAAGATTATAAGATTAAGAAACTAGACTAGATAAATAAGCTAGTATATTACTATATAATTAGATAGTAGCTCTATTAAATAGTTAATATAGAAATTCTTATGAATTTTACTTTAAGACTTAATAGCCGGTGCCCCTCCCATGTGCTTTGCTTGTAGTCGGGATAAGCAAGTGTCTCGTTTAACCAAGTATCCCATCGAGATTTTAGCCGATTCTTGATTTTTGGTACGCATTGCATACAAAATCAAGCATATTTGCAATGGAATTTAAGGATACTAGTTACAAAAAATACAAAGCTATCTAGAATTATACAAAATCGGCATTCGCTTATATACTATTAATTAAGCCTGTATTACTCTCCATATCTGAAGAGTCTGAAATAATAAGGGAAAGCAAACTTGAGTCTATATATTCTCCTATTCTCTTCTTTTAATGCTTCCGTTTAGTAGTATTAATTACTATATCCTTATCCCCGTTAATATTAATAAAGGTATTTAGTGCGTCTAGCCAATCGGGGGCTAGATTACTAAGGGATGCCGTAAGCTGGCGAACTATAAGCTATAAATCAGGGTAAAAGTCCTTATAGCAAGCTCGTTTAATAATTATAGGGTATTTATTAGGTTTGCGAATTAATACCATATCCTCTACTAGAATTAGCTTATCCTTTAGTTAATACTCTATGATTCTAACTAGTCTAGCTTTCTCATCCTTGCTATTATGCTCTGCCGCTTCACTAGTAAATTTAGCGTCACGTGATCGCGATAACGCATGTGGCTGGGGCTAGTATTTAGAACACCAAGCTCCCGTACTTACGAGCTTCCTTCCTTAGTTTAGAATCCTCGGATTAAGAGTCACTCTACTTTGCTTTCCAAGCCCAGAACCTGGTATCGTAACATTATTCTAAACTTATTCTTGTTCCTGCAGAGGAAGTAAAACCACTCTCACGTCTTGCATACAAGTGCGATTTCACGGCAATTTGACGATAGTACTGTCGATATACATGGTTACGGAACCACTACCCACCAGAGAGATCAAGAGCTTGTTGGGCTCTCTCTTACTTCAAGTTTTTACTATGGAGTAACCTTCGCAGATTCAGATCGCCACTGCGATTGCCGAGCTTTAAACGGAGGTACGAAGACAGGCTGAGATTATTTAGTAACAAGGCAATAAGCTTGTCCTCTTACGAACTCACTCCTCCCCTTCCTCTTCTACAAACGCAAAGCCGAAACCCTCCCTTCCACATCCCGAAAAATTCAATGGCCAAGTCCACAAGTTTAACACCTGGCTCCCCTCAATTCAAGCCAAGCTACGAGTCAATTGCGAGGCTATTAGCGATGCCACTGCTCAGTTTTACTATATCTACCTGAATCTCGAATCTTACGTTCAAGCCATGGTTCTTCCTTAGCTTTCCCAGGCTAAAGACGATCAAACCTGGTCCTACCTCTCGATTCTCGACTAACTCTCTCGCGTTTACTCGAATCCGAATAAGATGCAGGAAGCAGAGGACAAGCTATACTCTCTTAAGCAAGGCACTAATTCGCTTCATGCTTTTATAGCTAAGTTTGAGCGAATTCTGTACGAGGCACGTAGACAAGACTAGAACAATATTAATAAGATTACAGCCTTTTGTTAAGGACTCAATACTACGATCAAGAACAGACTAGTATAGTAATTAAACCTCCCTCGAACCTATACCAAGTTCATCGAGATAGTATAATAGCTGGCTGGACGCTCTAGTATATACGAATATCTAGTTCGCGACTCTGAGAAGAAGCCTTACTATTCACACGATACCATGGACATATTAACTATTAATACCATTCATTAGTGCGATTACCAAGCCTCCGCGACCCTCCTCTCCTTCTACGAAACCGAGACCCTCCTCTCCACGATGCTTTCCTCCACGACCATCCTCTCCCTTCCATACGAACAGTCGAGCACGATCTATATCCCCGGCAGAGCGCCAATTGCTTCGCAAGCAGGGCAAGTGTGTATGCTATGGCAGTAGTGAATACTAGGTACAGGACTATGATATTTAACCATACAAGGAAACAGGAAAGAAGATGCCTTCGCCAGGACCAAAGGTTATAGTAAGTGAGAACGGTAGAAAAGTCAGAATCTGTATGGTTAATGATTCTAATAGTAGCTATGATTCTGATGGTGGCTACGATTCTGATTACTTAATTGGACCCTATGGCCCTGATTCAGATTCAGATTCAGATTTGGAGGAACTGGCATATCAGGAACTAGTGGATCGCATGGATAGGGGACGCCGGAAGTAGGGCATACGAGATTGTATGATTTGTAGAAGCTATAGGGGGCTTATTTTCGAGCGCTCGGGACGAGCTTTCCTGAAGGGGGGAGTAATATTACGCTCTGCCGCTTTACTAGTAAATTTAGCGTCACGTGATCGCGATAACGCATGCGGCTGGGGCTAGTATTTAGAACACCAAGCTCCCGTACTTACGAGCTTCCTTCCTTAGTTTAGAATCGTCGGATTAAGAGCCACTTTACTTTGCTTTCCAAGCCCAGAGCCCGGTATCGTGACACTTGCAAGCTTAAATCCCGGCGTCCTTGAGCTAATTTTTAGCTCGATTTATAGTACTAGCGAGCTTCTTTTTAGCCTTATAAAGAGCTTTTCTATTATCTTTCTCCTTCTTCACTTTAATCTCTATACAAAGCTCTATTATACTAGCAGATAGCCCTCCTTTATATAAGCTTTTATGAGACTTCGCCTTATAATTATATTCTTTATAAAGCTTTATTTAGAGAGCCTGGTATTTTATTATCTGGAGATAACTCTTTTATAGTTAGATATTAATCTTTTTAACTATAGCTATCCAAGTTTCCTTCGAATTTTCTGAAAATATAGTAGAATTATAATCTGCAAGTACTCTAAGGATTATAGCTATATTCTATACTTTATTAGGGCAAATAAGTAATAAAGGGAGAAGATCTAAACTCTCCTTTACCTTAACCTCCTTAATTAATCTCTTCTTTTCATATAATCGCATCTTTTTAATTCTAGCTTTATAACTAACGGGCTATATACTAGAGCTCTTAAAGGTATTCTTAATTATATATTTTTATATTATTTATATATGAATTAGAGTAAAATCACGGAAAAAGGAAGTAATTATATATTCAAAATTAAGGAAACAGAGAGCTATATAAATCGCTATTTTATAATAGTATTTCTAGAAGCAGAATATACTAATATTAAGTAATTAAAGAATATATATTAAGTGAGAGGGAAACTAGAATAGCTTAATATTATATTCCCCGGCCTTTAATTAAAATAGTTTATAGACGTGCGATTCGTAACTATCTAAAAAGAGAATTTTCTAAGATTTATCTAGCCTAGCTCTTAAATACTTAATTAAATAATCGAGGTATTTTATAGCTATATTATTATTTATATATCCGATAGATATATATTTAATATATTCTATTTCAATTAGGTTTTCTAATACCTAATTATTTATAATCTTCTTTCTAGAAACAATTATAAATAGTAAAAGAGATTTATAACTATCTATATAAATAGTTTCAATTATTATAACTAATTTATAATTCTCAGGGCTAGCTATATATAGCTCTTTTACTTCTATAAATATAATTATATACTTACTAATAAGGTAACTAATATATACTTCTAACTCGTTTATATTCAAAATATTCTTTTCCTTTATAATATAAAGCTTCTCTAGAATATTATAATATTTCTAAAATTATATTCTAATATTCTTTTTTATATAAGATTCGAGTTATATATATATAATTAGCTTTATTTTAATTATATAAAATATCTTATAATTCCGTATCTATATACTAAACTAGCTAGCTAAAAGTAGTAGTTTTAAAAGAGATTTAGCCTATTTATATTAGCTAAATAATTTAATTTAGAAGGTATATTTATAGCTTTTAAATATATAATTATAGCTTAAATTATCTAATATATAGCCCCTAAACTAGCCTTTTACTACTTATAGTAATATTACCTAATTGCTTTTTCCTATACCTTATTTAGGATCTTATTATTACTATTATATATATTATAGAGTTCTTAGAAATTCCTTTTCTTATTATTATAATTCCCAGATACCCGGTATCTGAGATACCTTATTAGATGTCTCCTAGATACATATAATACAGCCGCCTTACTAGGGAAGTATACTTGAAATATACTAGAGATATTTAGAAGGCTAAGCCTCTTTAAAACTAATATACTATAGGATATATATATTTCCTTATAGTATTCTGTATTCTAGTTTTCCCTTCCTTAACTTTAAATTGTCTTTATAAGGAACCTTTTATCTTACTTTCCAAGCCCTAAATACTATACCTATAATAATATTTAAAGCTTACTTTCTTTAATCCTATAAAGGATTTCAAATAAACTAATTTAGAACTATTAGTAATATAGGTACTATTAAGATAACGGAACCTCAGAAATACGAGTAATAGATTCCAGAATAATAAAAGCAAAAAGCTTTAGAATCCTCAGAAAAACCAGGTATTTATATCTTTATAAATATATACTAGTAGTATATTAGAAACCCTTTCCGAAAACCCGAAAATTAAAGAACCTCAAATAAAGGCTATTCTTTAACTAAGTTCTAAAGTAATAGGTATATATAGGCCAGTAACCTAACTACTATCCTCAAGCCCTATCCTATAACCTTATAGGCCCTATATATATACCGGTAATAAGATTACTAGAGAGAATATAATAGAGAAAAAGTATAATAGATTAATTTCTCAAAATACTATATAACCAGGAACTATATTAACTTCTGCTAAGGCTTCTAATAAAGCTCTTACTAGTTCAGGTCATTTCATTAGTAGCTCTTTCCGAACCAAATATCCTATTAGTATTCCTAGAGAATTTATAGACGAGTTTATAGAAATAGAACTCTCTGCTTTTATTATAAAGCTTCTAGAAACTAATAACTATATTACTATAGAAGAGTTATATAAATAGGCTAAGAAACCTAATACCTTGCTTTTAGATATTAATATTATTATAAAAAGCTACTAGGAAAATATCTAAAAAGCTATTTTATATAAGAATACCTATAGTTATAATAAAGCTATTCTCGAGAATACTAAGCTCTATAATACTAAGCTCGAGGATAATCTCAAATACTATATAGCTATAGTAGATCGGCTTATAGTAGCTCTAACTATTTCTGCTTTACCTGTTTAGCTATTCTAAATTTCTCTTAAAAGAATTCCGAATTATCTCCTGCTTATTTCTATCTAGGATCTCTTATATTTTATATTTTCTTTAGAAATACTAGAGTTACTAAGCTCCCAGATCTAACTTTCTTTACTAGAAATTATACTATCTTTAATAACTGGCTAGTTTAGATTAATAATAAGCTATAAAGAAATACTAATTTATATTTTTTAGAGAATCTCAAGATTATTTATATTTTTAATAAACTTACCAGTAATACTCTTGTCCTAACTAACTCTTATATAAATAAAGATAGTCCGAATTAGTATTATTAGCTCTCAGAATTCTACTTTTATTTAAAGAAGCTATATTCTAATTCTAATAAGATATAGAATACTTATTATAACTTTAGTAAACTTTAAATATATTCTAGTTAAATATTTCAGGAGTTCTATATTTTCTTCTTATAATTATCTATAGAAGGTAGTATTAGTCTTTAAGATATTAAATATAAATTAAATAAGAAGCTCTTATTAAAGCTTTAGGAATTAGTATATATATATTATAATAATTCTTCTATTAATACTAGTTGCTTTACTTAGTACTATACTACTAATAATTAGTAAATTAAGGCTATATATAAGAAGACTAAGGAATATAAAAAGGCAAGAGCTATTCTAGCCAAGTTTACTTCTAATACTATATTTCTATATATTTCTAAGAAGTATATTTCTAAAGAGAAGCTTAAGGAGCCTATATTAATTACTTTTATTAAGTATATATTTCCTTATAAGTATAAGTAATATCCTATAAAAACTAAAAATCTCTTAATTATTAAGTATTTTAACTATAACAAATTTAGCTATTATATTAGATATTATCCGGTTCTATATAGTAAAGAAATTAAGGTAGCTCTTTCTAGAATTAAGCCGGACTTAGTTTCTATTTTATTAGAATATATTATTCTAATAAAGTATTCGGAGAATTCGAGTTCTAATTCTGGTATAGAACCGGGAAATAAGTATCTCTAAAGAAAGTCTTTATTTTAGAAACTTGTAATATAGATTTGGTAGAAATTAATTTAATTTGTCTAATTAGAGAAAATACTCTTATAATATCCTATACTATTAGTATAAATAAATTAGAAATCAAGTCTTCTTCCCTTATTAATACTAGAGCTAATAGTTATATTTTTATTAATATAAAGCTTATTTAGCTTATAAAGTAATTCTTAGAAATAGAACTATAATTCCTTTTCTTATCCTATACTATATACGGTTTTAATAGAAAGCTAGCTAAGTTTACTAAGAAATATATAGAAGTCTTATTTCTAATTAATAGATAAAGTATTAATATATTTATAATTATCCTAAATCTTAGAAATTATAATATTATCCTTAATAGAAAATAACTAGTATATATTAATATTCTAGTTAACTATAGAAGATATAGGCTTATATAGCTAAAGAATAAGCCTAAATCTATATAATTCAATTATATTATTAGTACTTTTTAGTAATAGCTAGAGAAATAACCTAATAAGAAATATTAAAAAGATACTAATTAACGAGATTTTATTATAAGCTATTTCTAGAAACCTTCTATTCTTAAGTAATCTTTCTTCTTTTGGACTAATTAGAGGAAATTATATAAGACTATAAAAAAGAAGCTTTTATAGCCTAATTAAGATATAATACCTAAGTAAAAGCTAAAGAAATAGAAAGAGATCCTTAATAGAAAGTAAATATTAAACCTAGCTATTCTTACTTCTATAGTATTTAATTATATAGCCAAGAAAGAAGATAATATTATTAGTTAAATCTCTATTTATAAGATTAATAAAAAGCTTAAAGCTCGGAAAAGAGAAGCTATTTCTAGCCTAGAGAATTAATAATCGGAAGAAATAGAGCTTTAATAGCTATAAAGAATATTATTTTCGGAATTTAAGAAATATACTTCTGTTTTCTCTAAAAAGAAATCTAATACTCTTTCCCTCTATAAATTATATAATTATAAGATTTAGATTAAAGGCCTAAAAGAAACTAAGAATATTAGATACTAATTCCTCCGGTAGTAGTCTATTTAAGAGCTTCTAGAAATTAAGTATTTCTTAGAAAATAATCTAGCTAAAGGCTTTATTAAACCTGGTTAGGCTCTCTTTATTTTACTAGTTCTTTTTATAAAGAAAGCAAATAGAGGTTTATACTTTTATATTAATTTCTACTATTTAAATAATATTACCCGGAAAGATTAATATTTCCTTTTACTTATTAATAAGACTTTAAATTAATTATCTAAAGCCAAGATCTATACTAAATTAAATATCCGTTAAACCTTCTATTATATAGCTATAGACCCGGACTTTTAGGAACTAATAATATTCCGTATTTACTATAAAGTATATAAATATAATATTCTCTAAAAAGGCCTTATAAATAGCCCGGCTATATATTAATATTATATAAATAATATATTTTTTAAGTATCTAAATAACTTTTATATAATATATTTTAATAATATTCTCATTTATTTAGAGAATCTAGTAAAGTACAAATAGTATATATAAAAGATATTAGACTACTTATATCTTACTGGCCTCTAAATAAATATTAAGAAATCGGAATTTAAAGTTATATATATAAAGTACTTGGGCTTTATTATTTCTATATCTGGTATTAAAGTAGATTCTAATAGAGTCAAAATAATATATAACTAGTAATTCCCAAAAATAGTTAAGGGTATATAGTTCTTTCTCAGCTTCTATAACTTTTATAGATACTTTATTAAAGAATATAAACGAATTACTAGACCTCTTATCTTATTTATAAAAAAGGATATTTCCTTTAAATAGTTTAAGTAATACCAAGAGGCTTTTATTTACTTAAAGAAAGCTATGATTTCTATTCTAGTTTTATAATACTATAATCCAGATCTGCCTATAATAGTAAAAACAGATATATTTAAAGAAATAATTACTAGCTTACTCTCTTAATAAGACCCAGAAATAGGTCTTTAATATCCTATAGCTTATTTTTCTAAAACCATACTTCTAGTAAAACTTAATTATAATATATATAATAAGGAAATACTTATTATAATACGAGTATTAGAGGAATAGAAAGCTAAGCTAGAAGGCTTTTAGGATATTTCCTTTAAGGTCTATTCTAATTACTATATCTTGAAGTACTTTATAATTACTAAGAAGCTCTCTTCTTAATAAGCTAGATAGGCTAAGCTCTTATCCTATTATTACTTTAAGTTTATATATTATTCTAGAAAATTAAATAAGTAAATAAATACTTTATTATAAAAATAAAACAAAGTAAATATTTAGGGCTAAATTAAGAAGAAGCTATAAACTCAAATACTTCTCTTTAAAGATAAGATTAATCCGGAGATTATTTATAACTTATAGTTTATAGTAATATTCTATAAGGTTAGCTTACTTAATCCGGAATTTGGTCCTAAAAACCAAGTATATACTAAAGACTTTCCGAAAGAGAATATTCCTATTAGAGATATAATTCCTCTAGAAAAAGGTATTTTCTTAGAAGCTTTATTAGTAAACTTTGCTATAATAGCCCTTATAGAAGTATTATTAGAGGCTCCCGCCGAATATAGTAGTTTATAACTTATAAATAAGACCTTATAGGATAATTATATATTACTAGATCTAGAAGAGCTATATATAATAGCCCAAGCCAAAAATAATATCTGGATATTATAAGACGGCCTCTTTTTATATTATAAAAGACTTTATATTATAGAGAATAAAATAACTCCCGGATTACCTTTATGAATTGCCCTAATCTATAAAGTATATAATAAATCCCTTTCTAGATATCTTGGATATATAAAGCTCTATTAGCTATTAAAGAAGTAATATTACTAGCTATCTATAAATAAGGATATTAATTAATACTATAATAATTACTATATTTATAAAAGATTATATATATCTAGAGATAAGAAGCCTGGTTTGCTTTATTTCTTTCTAGTTTCTAATTACCTATAATAATATATTATTATAGATTTTAAGAGCTATCTAGAAAATAAATTGGGCCATAATATAATTATTATATTTATAGATTACTTATCTAAGTACCTAATTATAATTCCCGTATAAGATATAATTATAGCCAAGTAGCTAATACCTCTATTTTTATTCTATATAATATATCAAGTAAGTATTCCAGAAATAATTATATTAGATTAGAGACCCTAATTTATATCTGATTTTTAGAGCGAATTCTATACGAGAATTAGTATAAAGCTCAAGCTCTCTATAGCTAATTATCTCTAAATAGACGGATAAATAGAGATTATTAATTAGTATTTTAATTAGAGATTATACTTATATATTAACTATTACTAGGATAACTAGAACAAATAGATTATTATAATTAATTATTAATAAGCCTCTCTTTAGTATAAAACTATTAGCTAGTCCCTATTTATAACTAAAAAGGGCTATAAACCTTATATTTCTCTAGACTAGAACTCTTTTATTAAAGCTAACTTACCTAAAAAGAAACTAAATAGAAATAAAGCTAAAGTATTAGTAAATTAATTATATAAATTATAGTAACTTGCCTAAGGCTATATAGAATACATATAGAAATAATATATAATATAAGTTAATAAATACTACTATCTAATTAATTTCAAAGTTAGGAATAAAATATAGGTTACTATAAAGTACTAGAAATCCGATTATCCGAGCCGGAAGCTAGGAAACTAAATAGAGAACCTATTTGAGATTCTAGAATAGTATAGCTATTCATTTCTCCTAAAACTACCAGAAACCATAAAGATATACCTAGTTTTCTATATAGAGAAGCTATGAAAAGACTCCCAGAATCCTTTACTAGGTCAAGCGAATCCGGAACCGCTTCTATTAATACTAGAGGATAGTAAATAAGAGTACGGCATTAAACGGGTTATTATAGTTAAGCCAATAAGAAATAGGCTAAAGTATAGAATTCAATAGGTTAGTTAGAATAAAGATCTAGTATAATATCTAGCTTCGGTACTAAGTAATAGCCCCCTGGTTTTATAGAGTTTCTATAATAATAATATTAATATATCAGGATCTCTATAAAACCTGTAATACTGGCTAGACTATATAAAAAATAATACTTGTCCAGAATTATACGGAAATAATAATAAATCCTTCTAGGTCATATAGTAAAGGTGCCGGCCTTTCGTATATAATATCTATATCCGAGATACTAGTTTTACTTTGGGAAGGAGAATAATACGAAATTAGATAGATTAATGGCTTTTACAAAGCTCGGGGACGAGCTTATTCCGAAGGGGGAAGTAATATTACGATTCCCAGATATCCGGCATCTGAGATGCCTCCCCAGATGCCTCCTAGATATATATAATGCGGCCGCCTCGCTAGGAAAGCATGCTTGGAATATACTGGAGATATTTAGAAGGCTAAGCCCCTTCGGGACTAGTATACTATGGGGTGTATATACTCCCTCGCAGCCTCTTGTATTCTAGTTTTCTCTTCTTTAGCTTTGAATCGTCTTCGTAAGAGACCTTCTATCTTGCTTTCTAAGCCCTAAATACCGTACCCGTAATACTTATTATACTTGCGGAATACTAATTTTCGCAAAGAAGCTTCTTTAATATAATATATTCTAGTAGTAGTAATTACTGAATTATTATTATTTTTAAGGTACTATTTGCAGACCTTATTAAAGATATAGTAGTAATTAGCTTCCGTAGTATATAAATAATAGAAATACTTCCAGGATATCTCTCTAATTCTAGTAAAATTAAATAAAGATATATCTATTTTTGGAATCTTTATATATGAATTAAATAATAAATTAGTTAATAAGTTAGGCCAAATACATAATTATAAAACGTGTTTTTTAATAAGAATTATATGTAAATTTTAGGGCCTGTATTTTCTTAATAGGATACTTGATTAAACGAGATACTTGCTTATTCTGACTATAAGTAAAGTATATAAGAGGGATATTAGCTATTAAAAAGAATAAATAGAATTTTATTTATAAGGTTCTTAAAGCTTTATTAATGAAATATAGTTCTATAAATATAATACAAATTACTATTATTTGAAGAATATATAGCTCGGTTCTATTATAAATAAGTAAAGAAGAAATAAGCCCAAGATATTAGTTTATTAATTAGAAAAAGATACTTAATTATACTAGAGCTTTTAAAATCGCCAAAATTAAGGATATTCTAGTAATAATCGAGTTCTTAATAGTATTCTAGTAAAAACTTATACTAATTTGAGTAATAAAATAGCTTAGTAATTTATATAATAAAAATAAACTAGGGCTTTTAATTCTTATACTCGAGTAATATAACCAGGTATTTAATTAAATTATTTTAGAAAATCAGAATATTAAGTATTTAGAAGCTTCTATAATCTTTACTATATTTAAGAATTAAATTAGTAAAGAATTAGATAATAAATCCGATTTAAATAAGTATAAATATTATAAGTATTTTTATAAGAATTCCAAAAACTTTAAATATTACTAGAATTTACTTAACTATACTATTATAGAAATTATAATTACTGAATTAAGTAAAACTTAAATAAAATTCAAGCCTAATAAGATTTAGATTAGAAAGATCCGGAAAAGACTCTTAACTAAATATTAGAAGAATCTAAAACCTTAGCTAGAAAAGAAATATAATATAAAAATTACTAGTAAATAAGCTATAGAGAAACTAATATCCGGTACTAGTTTCAAAAAAAAGCCTAAAATATCCGGAATCTAATATTCTAGAAATTTTAATATTATTTTAATAAATCTAATATTTATAATTTAGAGCTCGAATTAAGAAATCTATATAATACTTGATTTTTTAAAATATTTGATTTTTTAGAATACCTTATTAAATAATTATAATATTATATTTCTAGTTAATAGTAAGAATCTAATTAATTCTAGTACTTTTATTAAAGCGAAAATTAATAATTATATAAAAATAAAAATAAAAATAAAAATAACTAGTTTTCCGATTATTAAATATAATATTTATATAATATTTATATAATTAATAGATTTATAAGACTATATTCTAAAAATTTAATTCTTTATAATATTATAATTATTAAAGAATTCTATATAAATATTATTTTCGAAGTTTACTAAATAAATAAAAAAGCTTAGTATTATAAATATAATCTTATAATTAGACTAGGAGATTATAAAGAAAATATAGTAAAGAGAGATATATAGGAATATTAAAATATATTAAAAACTTAAATATTCGGAATATATTATTTTAATAGAAAAAAGAAAAGGAAAAAAGAAGAAAGCTATATATAGAAGTAATAAATAGCCGAGAGTATCTAACTAGTCACGTGACCCGTTACCTAATTCCCTACTATAATAGTATTAATATAATTAGAATATAGGTTTAATTTAGTTTTTTTAAATATAAGCCGCTTTTTATTTATTCTAATATTCCGTTTAAAATTCCTATTAATACTAATAATATACTTATATTTCTAATATTCAAATATTTAATTAGAGCTTAGTATAACAAATTAAAGAAATATTTCAAGCTAAGAAATAATTCAAAAAATAATAATATATAAAGTAAAGTATTTAGCCTATAAAGCTATATAAAAGCTTATTAATTATATATATAATATGAAAATTAATAAATTAATAAGAATTATATATGAATTTTATATTTAGATATATATTAGGCAAGTAATCTTAATATATATAAAGATTACAGAATAGGGAGTTGTATTAAATAGTAAAAGAGTTAATTAAACTAGCTAGAAAAGAGCTTGAGTAAAGTATAAAGCTTTAGGAAGTAAGTATATAGATTCTGACTAAG